TTTGTTGTTTCTATGACTGACGTTATCTTTTATAACTTATAAACGTTTACTTTGAATCGTTTCATGGCAGTTGACATGCAAGATTCAGCCTAGACAACCTAGCGGACAGCTCCCTAACCCTATCCTACCCGTAAGGGGAAAATGGCGTTCGATGGAATTGAAAGTTTCTCGAAAAACAACATTAGTCCCAAATTGAGAAAATGAAGTTAGTGATGCCATCTAGTAGAGTGAACTTTTATGCATCAGAGAATAATATCGACTCGGGTTTAAATGCATTAGATCCGAAGAAAACGATCGAAGATAAGTAGGTGATTCTGGAAGCACATCATATGTCCAAAGTGTGACCGATAAAAACAGCATTAGTTATGGACAAATGAAGATAACAGTAGTGGGTGTATTGAAATATCAGCTTCCAGCAATTGTTTCTAGTATTTTAACTGCGTTTATTGTATGTCGTAATTAATCTAGAATGTGTTTGTTAGATGTTCAATTTATTGTTTTCATTGTATGCAAGAATAATAATGCAATATGTAGAATATGTTTTTGCATGTTTCTGAGGCCTTCTGTTGATACGCATGCCTAATAGCAAATGTTGTACGTATGTATTCTGCAATTGTCAAGCAATAATATCATGTGTCCATTTTTCTTTTTCTTGTAACTTGTGAAATATACTTGTTTCATTTGTTTACAAATGCATTTTGTGTTTCATGCTAGGTAAAAGTTTTCCTGTACAATATAAATACCATATATCTTGCTGAGTTAAAGTGGACCGTGTTTTTTAATTTTCCCACAAATTTTATTTTTCGGCTAATACTGTTTTCCGAGAAGCCTTTCATAGCAATACTTACAGAAAATTATTAGAATTGTTTAAAATACCGTATGCAGCGGTCGGTACGATGCAGCCAACAGTTGTGAGACCCCGGTTATGTGTTTCGTGGTGAGACAAAACAGAACCAGAAGTAGAGAAAATAGACAGGAATAATAGTACAGTATTTTATTAGCATTTTCCATTCTTATGATGTTGGGGTGAAGTAAATATACATTTTCTGTCCGCAAGTAAACGCATATTTGCTCTCGGGTTTGATAGGAACTTTACGAAATTCACGCAATAGTTGTTACTGCGGGTATATTGACATTTAGTCAGGTAGAGTAGGAAGCTATTGTTGGTGAATGGAGGGTTAATATACTATATATAAAGTTCAGTTGTACCTGAGAATTATGCCAAATTGATGTTTTTCTTAATATTAATATATAAAATAATATTAATGTAGTATTATTTTGTAAGGCATGGCGTATTTTAGAAAGGGTAAAAAGGAGTCTGTTAGATATCGTATTGTCTGACTGCAGAGAACTCTATATTGATTCTCTAATCTGATGACGGTAAGGGCGTAATTTAACTCCTTAATGTACCTTCCGTGTTTCCATCTTGATAATGTTTTGAATTCCGCAGTTGCTCATTCCTGATGTGGCTCAGAGATGAAGCAGATAGATGCGACTTTGATGGCATTGAACCTCTCTCATGGGGCATTGATCTTGAAACGAAGGTTTGACAAGCCATCGTCCCTAGCAGGAGCGGGGAGCCACAAGCGCGATTTCGTGGAAGGACATTCTGAGACCACCATGTTTGTTTACTCGAGGAACGCGCGTAGGATTTTTTTTCTGTTTGGTGTGGTCTGATCTTCGAGTGCGGACCGACGCGCCTGGCGTACTAAGTAAACATGCGTCCGTCTGTCGGTGTCAACACAGGAGTCTTGTGTCGCCCGTCATCCTTGTCAAGGTTGGCACTATTTTTATATTGAGACAGTGATAGATATGATCTTCAATTCTAAACTTTTCAACTTAAATATATTTTATGCTATCCTACCCTTCCCTTGCAGTAATGCTTTTTCCAGGGGTTTGTGAAGTAGTTTATAGATTCTGTACTTGTTAGGTGTTTGTGCTCATCATTTCTATGATTTTTTTAAAAGCACATTTTAATAATAAGCCTTATATTTGCGGTGTTGGAATCTGTATGCGAGTAATTTAGATTCTAGTTGAGAATTCCCTTTAATCAGCCACTCTCCTTGTAATGTGAGTTAACGATTAGCGAGTTATTACTAGCGCTGGCGCCGTTGCTCATTATTAGGCCATTTGTCTAGTTGTTTTGTGTCGCAACCACAATTGGAAATCTGTGGGCAACGACTTCTAGACGTCAGGAAATGCCTCTCTTCACTGAGTGGTTTCTAAATTCCGTGGTGGTAGCAGATATCGTGTGGTAATCCATGGTATTGTAAAGGAAATAATCTCCACAAAAGTTTTAATAATTTTATTAATAATTTTCCAAAGTTAACTTTCGGGAAACACTTTTCCCATCCTCAGTGGATCTCTAGCAAAATGGGGAAATGAAACATAACATAAGTTGAACACAAAACGGGGGGGATGTACAGTGAAATTTAGTGGGAAAACAAATAATATCATATAAATACAAATAGAAAGTACTCTCTTCACTGAGTGGTTTCTGTCACCCTTGCCCGTTCACTGGGAAGCGCAAGGTCTTGGGTTTGAATTCCACTTCCGGCTCTTCGTGCGGCTTCTCAGGCGCGCATCGTCCTTCACCGTCCCGAGCACCGCGGGCGCCGGCCCGCCACCGAGCGCGGTTCCGCCGCGAAGTCGTGATGTACGTGCACCGAGCGGCGCTGCCGGCGGAGGAGGGGGATGTGTCCCCTGGGCACATTGCGTCCCAGAGACGCCCCGTTACTTACAGCCTCCCGCGGGAGCGAGTCTCCGGCCCGGCCCCGCCCACTCGCCCTCGGCGCGCCGGGGTCCCCGCGCCCGCGGGCGAGAGATAGCCCGTAACGCGGGCTTGGAGCGCCGCCAGAACGCGCCTTTCATCTCCTAAAACGGCCCCCGCCAGAATATTGGGGGTGCCTGGGGGAACGGGCAGGGTCTGCGGAAGGGGCGAGGTGCCTTTTGTTGACGTGCACGCCTGTCGCTTCTGCCGCCGCCCCTGCCGCCGCGTGCATGGAATGAAAGCGTTTACATCCGGCCCCGCCCAGGGCGCCGCGGCCAACCCGCCGCGCCGGGCTCTGTGCCTGGCGGGCCCACTATCACGTGCTGCGAACGTGGCAGGAAAGGCTCGCGTTGGCGTCGTCTGTGAGTAAAACAGTTACCTCCCATTCATGTTGCATCTGCTTCATTCACACGCTGGGGTTTCGTCTATTTCCAGTTGATGTTTCCTTGTTAATGAAAAAGAGAATCACTGGAAGTCGTTTGGTATTCTTCCGCTTGTTTCTGTAGCTTAGCATTTGTTCTCAATCCAAAAAAGAGAGGAATTTGCGAACATCTTTGAATGAGGAAGTTTAAATAAGACGGTTCAGTAGTAAGACAATGTGTTCATTTCACGTGTGAATGTTTGTGCCATCGAATATAATATTCGTTATATTATAATATTGCTTGCCTGTGTTAGTGCATCGTTGTTTCTGAGCGTTTTGAAGAATTAATTTTATCAAGATTGGAATCCAATCAAGTAATTACTTTAATGTGTGCATCCCATGCTCAAGGTGGCCATCCTGTTGTTTTCTTTAGCCACGTGCCGACGCCGGCCCGCGTCTTTCCGTTTGGTCGATGCCGCTGCGAGGGAGAGGCGTGTTGGACTTGGTTATTGGCTGGAGTGACCGCGCCTTGACACGGCTTTCTCCATTAATTCTCTCGGCCGGGGGCACAGGAAGGAGAGGGGCTCGCCGCGTCGTGACGAGGGTGACCGCTCTTGGGCCACGGTAATGGAGTGAGGGGCTCCACAGATACGGAAACGGGGGGTGGAAGGAGTGGGAGAAGTAAAGAAGAATGAAGAAAATAAGAGGAACAAAATCATGAATGGACTGTGAAAAAGACATTCCAGTGCAGGGAACGAACAATAGTAATAGTAAAGGGTAGAAGGAAAATAGTCCGCACGAGCGTGATACAGTTTGTGCAGGATGATAGGGCGTGGAAGAATGAAGGAGAAACGTAACCACAATCATTGTTCAATATTCAGAAAGTTCAGTGTAAAAATCTAATGATGAGGTTTCTTGCTATAATTGAGGAAGAATAGTACAACACGCAAGGTGTCATAGCTAGTGGTCCATGCGACTGCTAGCTCTCCCACCCTCACAGTTGCGGCGCCCCTTCCCACAAACCCAACACTTCTCCATGGCCAGCAGTATCGATCTCCGACGCGGTCGTGGGTTTTCTTCCGTGCGCTTCTCCCGTCTCCCGCTTGGCAGCCATGCTTTCGCTTCGTGAACCTCCACACTTCTATCTCCTGGAACCTTTGTAAGATTTGTAAAGTCATGCTTCAGTTACATGCGACGTAGAGACGCTTTGATTTGGATTACGATGAATTTTCTCAGTACACGTTTGAAACTTATTTTACATTAATTCGCGACTCAAAAAGTCTTAAATACGCTTATTCTTCTTGGATCCATGTTGAGTCGTATGCCGATCCAAAAATATTAAAAAGACGTAAATAAAAGGTATCTTTTATCGTATCAGTGATAGGTTGAGTACATTACTTTGTTGTTAATAGTAAACATATTAGTAATAGTAATTCATAGTAAACATTTGTTGTATTTGTTATTTGACGTTATACATGTACACGAAACTGACGAAATGATTTTTACTGAATATTCGTAGGACTGCATATCGTTCTTCTGCGTTTATAGAACTCACTCGAGACAATTATTTGATCTCAGAATAAAAGCGACGAAGTTTCCATCCAACAACGCTACTTCTTCGTGTCGTGCTTCGTCACCCGCGTGTTAACGCATTCCGAGAGCGTCGCTCGATATTAACGCCATAAATTACAGGAAGGAGGCTTTCTTAAGGTGCATTATGAAGGAGGGCGGCGGCCTCAAAGTGGGCTCTCGCCGCGTCGAGCCCAGGTGCGCGCGAAGGCCGCCGCGTCGTTGGCGGTGGGAACGAGCAGCCGGGTCCCAGGCGGCGCGTAAGGCGCCTCGATGCTGTTAACACCCGCCGGCGCGACGCGGCATCAAGGGGATTTGCGCGCAAAGAGAAGGATCCTCGCGTCGCTCTGCCTGCGCGGGAGCTCGTTCCTGCCGTCCCTTTTTCTGTGTTTGCGCTCATGAAATGGCTCGTCGGACGGTGGTGAATTCTTGGATATAATGATGAAAAGTAAGTGTTCGTCATTATTAAGAAAGATAGTCACGCGAATGGCTGCATATGGAGAAATATTTAACAAATAGCACTTTCGTTTTATATTTAACACTTTGGTATTCGAATTTACGAATGGAAAGTGGAATAACAACTTTAAGTATAGAGAACCAATAGGAGAATACAAACTTAAGAACCACCTCATTAGGAATTTTTTTTCATGTTTTTGTAGGTTTTTGTGACTGTTATAGCATGGTGTTTGTGTATGTAGCATTCACGTTCCCTCCTCCGGTTTACAATTTTTTACCTTTTTAATATTCCATTCATTTCTCTGCATTTACCGACTGGTACTTGTTCATCTTGGCACGCCCGCTCGCGTCTAATGTCCAGCGAAATTGGGTCGGCAAGGTCTGCCGTTGTCTTTGCCAGCGTTGGCGATGCGCGGTCCTGTCGCACACAAGGCCGCTGGTGGCGTTCGGCCCACGCCGCCCTTGCGGCTGCCAGAGGCCGCTTCATCGCCCCGCTGCCGGCGCTTTGTCCCAATCAAGCGCCGCCTGCTTCCTACGTCCTCGCAACCCACAGGCACCGACGTCTTACCCACTAGCCCTGCACCCGGAAAGCGGAATCGCAAATCGCACCCCCCCCTGATTACTTTCAACAAAGAATTCCCTTGGTTATCCTACCTACCTCGTTGACTCAGTATGGCCTATTCGATGAAAGTATGTCGTCTTTATTCGACAGTTGCCAATACAAGATAAGTTGAGCTCATGATCCTTCATGGATTGTCGTACAGTTGTGTTGCATTGGAAACGGTCAGATGCACAAATATCACCTTTGCTTATGCTTGTGGGGTAGTTCTTGATGTGATCCCATGTATACAAAAATGTGATCGGCAAAGTGACCTACCAAAGATATTTTTAAATGGAAACAGCTAATCACAATATACCCAATATTCAACATGTTATTACTGCCTTCAAATAGAATACGTGTGTTCATCTTTATTTAGAAGTTGCTTTGTCATTTCTTTCGCAAACCCGCGCAGTCAAGTATAATGACGGTGACGGTCATTGGTCGAATCGCCATTGCTGGTTTGTGCCCATCGTGATGTACGTGCTGGTTGAGATGTTTGCATCACGACGTAAACTTTTCTCTCTCCCTCTCCACCTGGCACTGTTCCAAAAAGAGCGCCTTAGTGATATTCCAGTTTATGCATTTATGCTTGCGAAGATTGGGGTCTGCCCCATTTCGGCGAACGATGTACCCCTTTGAGTTACGAGCGTTCATAGTGCTAATAAATAAAGTTATCTCTGGTGCACTGCAGAGGAATGACGTGAAGTGTTCTGTGTGGGCACAGGAAAACTGCAATACGTTTTAAGCATTTTTAGAAATTCAAGTGTGTACGTATTTGGCATGTTAGGGACGGATTAATCTGAATTGTGCCAGGTAGAGGTTTTCCCAGGCCTGGGCCGTGTTCTGATTTATTAACCACGAGTGGGCGTAAGGGAGACATGTCGCGAGCATGACATATTCCCCCTCACAGTACGTAGCGTACTTGAAGTACCTGAGCTGTAAAAACATTTCGTCACTGAGGTATAGAAACTGAGACGCTTTGTATTAGAAAGCCACAGCCTCATTGTTTCTCTGGCCGGTGATCGCATCTGGGCGCGCCTCACACCGGATAGCACGCTGTACATGAGGCACTCGAGAGATTTTTCTAAATATAATTAATAAAATCCAAAAACTGTCCCTCGACCTTCGCCATCGATCTCTAAATTGATCAAGAAAAATAATAATTTCTTGAACTATGTGAAAAAGGCTTCTATATAGTAAATGCAGCTAGATTCTCCTTTCTGCCCTATCGTTCAAAGAGTTAAATGTAGAAAGTTCCACCTACGTGCACAAGTTCATGGAGGATACTTTTCGCCTCACTGCTGTTCATTTCTATGATTGTCTACATTTGAATAACTATGTTTAAAGTTTTCAGGAGATAGGTATATGCTCGATTTTTTTGTACCTGACTGTTCAGATAATTCTTGGCAGCTGTAAAATTGATTGTTCAATATTGAAAAATCTCGTCGCAGGAATGTAGTTAGGTGTCTGGGGTTTCATTGGACATTCAGTATTCATTGCTGCTTTTAAACATTTGAAGACTGTTCCGAGACTCTCTCTTCTGCTGTTCTTCTTAATGATTTACTCCATGGTTTTGATTACATCAGTTGATCTCTAATAACAAATTGAATGCCGCCCTGGATGGCCGTGGTCGCTAAGGCTGAAGAGCCGGTGCTCTCATGCTTGAAGAGTCGCGGGTTCGAATCCCGCGCGGGGTTTATCTTATCGTTTATTGTATCGTTACCGTTACTCCCAATATCACTTACAGTGGTCGGTATGTTACTTACAGAGTTGACCATATTGGTGGAAAGTGTCCTTAAATAAGTAAAAAGAAGTGACGTTACATTTAATGTAATAAATGAGGTATTGAATATATACGTTTGGAGTATGTAAATGAATATTTTTTCTAGAATTGTAAATTTTGGGAACAGTTTGCGCGTTCATTACTACTTTGATACATTTCATATCACCCGTGCGTTCCCTATCGTGCTCGTAGGTGAAGTGGTCCCTGCCTGCTGTATTGCAGACTGGTAGCCGGGCGACGCAGCCCGGAGCATCGCGCGTCAAAAATACTCGCACGTGATCGCTTTGCCTCGTACAGCGCCGAAATAGCGACTTGCCTCACCCGACAACCTCGAGGCGCCGCGCTGGACGCGGCGCGAGGCCGTTCGTCTCGCTACCGCAGCGCACTGTGCCGCGCCGCGCTGCGACCTGCCGTGCGGCCAAAGTGCGCCGAGCGCGATGCTCCCTGGCACCGGTGCGCTGTTGCCGCCTCCATCGAGGTTGGCATCTGAAGCTATTTTTGTGGAAGGAATTGAGAGGTCTTTCTAATGTTCAAGTTGATGTCCTAGACTATTTCGTTTTAACTTAGTTTTTAAAAAAGGTTAAGGAGTTATAATTGACAGCCTGTTTATTTTTATGGTTTATTGGTGTGAATCAACAATTTATAAAGTTGTATGTAACAACCAATGTTCCGAAACATATTTTGTCTCATTTTAAATTCGGAAATAAACAGAACAGAAGTTAAAAACATGAATAAAATGGCCACATTAAATATAAAGGATAAGTGGAAAATTCTTGGAAGTCTTGTTATAAAAGACAACTAGAAACAATGTGCACGTGAATAGCTTTCTAATGTTACCTATTGGCCCCATTTAGCTCGGCGTCTCGATTTGACGAACACCACAGATCGCCATAATGTGTTGCGTTCCTGTTCTCTTAACATTTTTTTCCCGTTATTATTAGAATAAAAAATATCTAGTATAGCAATTGATCCGAAAATCTCTGTCGCGTTTATATCTCTGTGTGGCGCTCAATCACGATGCCATGTAGGTGTATTCACATAATCACTGCTCTCATTTCTCCGTGAATCATATTTAGTCGCTTATGTCATCAGCGCTGACTCATCGCCACACATAAATAAAGATCCTCGATGAACATCAAAGTCGCATTGGTCGCTATGCTCTTCATATGTATCCCGATAAGATCTGAGGAGAGCAAATTTTAAAAAATATCTTTGCTCCAAGGGGCACGGGCAGGCTTATCCTGACTCCGCAATTTCCCCTTAAAATCCAAAAAGGGGTGTACATGTGTAAGTTAAAGGTGTGCGAGGCAGTGAAAAGTGGTTTCACACGAAAATGTGCTTCTCAGATTTTTTTCTCTGAAGAAAAAAAGAAAGAAAGGAAGGAAAAAAAACTATAACTGTATTATGTTTATATTCTTCACGACTTATTACTATTTGATGTTTATTTTCTTACTAAATTGCCCTGTACATAAACATTTGCTATTTGACAGGAATATGTTTGAATTGCGAATTCTTTATTTGTTTTCGATTTGTCTTGTATTATTAAATCATTCAGTTATTTATTGTATTTATTTTTAATGTGAAATAAATCAACAAGTCTATATTCTATATTAACAAATCTCACTTACGGACGGACAGCGCTTTTAACAGACAAGAATGTTATATTTACTCTCAATTGAGAATTTGAAATCGGACTGATGTATTATTTCATTTTAATGGATCATTTATTTGCCTTAAAGAGACAGTGGGAATTAATATAGCTAAATTTGGGACAATAACTGTAAAGTAACTTCTCCCGAAGACTGCCATGGGCCAGGAATTCTGCGACGTACCGCCCCTCCGGAGGAATTTGTATAATCCTTACTTTTAAATCTCGCACCAATTTCTCTGGACGCAGTGCCAGCGAGCTCTTGTAAGTAAATTACCGTGCCCGCAACCTTGACGTGCCTGATCTAGTCAATGGGTAACGGGAATAAACATTTAAAGTAAATTATAAGTCTGAGCAAATGTTGAGATGGCCCCTTGTTTTGCTTCTGGACATAAATGTAACTTCAAATTAACTTCTCCCCATAGCACGTCACACGCAATTTTTAACTGTTATGACGTAAATAAATATGTAACCAGTAAGAGCATTTACTGAATTTGCGATAAATAACACTATAGTTTTATTAGAAAGAAAATGCTAAAAAAAAAGTTATTGCTGAATGCTGGAAAACTTGTTTCATTGCTAGGGATCTGTGATGTTGTGTGCTTTTGTAGGTCAAATTACCTGCCCAAAATTTAAATTCTCCTTCGAAACTGCTAGCAAAGACGCCCACGTTTCACAAATGCAGTTTCTGAAAACTACACTAGTTGATCTCCACCACGCACCGACCACATTAGTTGATCGTGACAGCAAAATTTCACGCAAATGCTTTTTACAAAATCGCAATAGTTTTGTATAACATAAACGTTTTACTCACACCTTTTTAAGTAAATCCTGAAATAACAAGTTTTTAAAACGAGTGTAAGTATTTACTGCGACTAAAAGATTACTTAGTTACTAAGAAGTACTTAAGTTTATTCACCGACACATAGTTTTACATGAAACGCTTCTAGATTAAACTTTTACTACATTCGTTACATTTACTACTATTTACATCGCCTAGTGGCCTATAAATGCTGTATAATGTTTGTATTTCATGTGGGCACCAGATTATCTATAAGGAAACGAAATCTCGCATCTCAGCTAGTGTGTGCATTGCTTTCGAAAGAGCTTATTATGTATCCTGAAGTCAGATCTAAGCTTGTGCTTCACACATTTCTTTCACAATCATACTCAGCAGTTATTTAATTCCTTTGCTTCCACTTTCCCCTCACATAACTTCCTCTATTCCTCTACGGCTTCTACTGCAGGCGTAATCCCTCCGAGAGCGCCTATTGTCACGCAACCCCTGTGCACACACGCTCTGGACTCGTGTTTGGACTTTCCTCAGCATCCTTCTGACCTTTTATTGTACCTTTGAACCTGGTACGTTGCATCGTCTTTCTTTCCCAAACTTACCGTAGCATCAGTGTAGGCCTGTTTCTATTTGTCCCTGTTCCCACCTCTTCGTCGCAAAAAGTGACGAGCGATATTCATCAATTTTTGTTTTTTGCGAGGGGAAAATTCGTGACTGTGTCGCGTGCATGCCGTGCAGGTTGGCAATGCTGCGACCTCGTCCCTTGATCTCTCTTATCGGGACGCAGTATCAGTATATCAGAGTAACCTTCAATTTACTGCAGAGCAATAAAGTAAATATCTTGAATTTTACTAAACTTAGAAAAACATAAAATTACTCGTGATCATTGAAAAAAGGTTTAAAATAAACTTGTTGAGCTACTACGTAGCACATACTTTTTCATGTTTGTAACGGTTAAGTAAAATTTACTGTTCATGGGCTTCATATACGGAGGAAGCCGCATTGGTCGTAGTTATAGTAATATAGCACCTTTAATGATGAGATTATGCATTTCAATGCTCTGTATTTAAAACCCCATTAACATAAACTGTCGTTGATCGTTACGTCCTCTGAACGAGATCTTGTGAACCATAATGTGTAGTGTTCTCCTCTTTTCGCTTAGATGCTTCAAGATGCTACTCTACTTTTGATTTGATTTGATTTGAATTTGCCTTATTTTACGTGGCGAGACTACACTTTTCGCTTAGTATCGCGGGTAATAGTGGAAACATCGCCATTAATGTTTTCTAAAGATAAAGGCAGCAGCATCTTTATAACTAGTATTTGTTTTCTCTATTTTATCAAAATATATTGAGAATACGCACTTAACAGTGGGTTGTATCTTAGATTGACATGTCAGTGCGGCTGACGGAAGTCGGAAGCCCCGAAGCTTTCATTCGCAGGAGCGCTACGCGATCGGGCCACTGGCCTTAACACTATTTGTAGCGGAGGAAGTCCAGCAGGGGAACACGTTATTAATGAAGCCTTGCGTGCGAGCTGGCCATTGGCGCCGGGAGCGGGAAGGCTGGCCGGAGCAGGGGGAGTGGTGCGCACGAAGAAGGTGAAGAGAGGAGGAGAGGACGGCGGCCGCAACGGCTCAGGGGACTGAAAAAATGGGCTTGGTGCTGATGAGACTGAAAGCAACGATGTTGGATGGTGGTGTAGGCGTTGATGATGCTGGTGGTGAACTGTTTTCGTACGTTGTGGTGTAGTTGATTGTGATAGGAATGAAATAGATGGTGAGATGGACAAGGCTGTTAGTCGTGCAAGCTGGAACTACTATTCTCTGAAGCGACTAATATGTTTCTGTATTACGTTTCATTAAAGAAAACACAACGTACCTAGGTACGCCATACAGCTATTAAAAAAAAGATTCTCCTAAAACATAAGGGAATAAGCAAAATAATTAAAATTAATTCCCTTATTTAGATATAACTTTACGTTGTGTATGTTTATCTAACAAAATAATGAGACTTGGGAAAGTAGGAACAACATACACACTGCATCATTCGCAAAATTACTTTCCTAACATGTAATTCTTGAAACAGGAACTTACTGCTCAAACTGCAACTCAGAGCACTTAAAAGTGAAAGGTGAAATAAACAATAAGTTGTACTTAAACCTTAATTGGCACATCCTTATTACGTAAAACAGTCTTGGGTCGCCCGGGCGTAAATTTCATAAGTTTTTTTGAGTTCTCAAGTCCAATTTTCAATCATTCCTCTTTCAATTCTTCTTTCTGTCCTGCGGTATTCTGCACGTCAAGCCGTCGAATATTCTGCCCTAATTTTTGCCAAAGATACTAATATTTCAATTGGCGATTATGATAGAGTATTGCAACTCTTCCCATTTCGTTATCTGCATTTGCATCGATGTGGTGTGAAAATAAACACGTGTAATTCCCGAAAATTATTTGTATTCCTAAAAGGATAACATTTAACACTCAAACGATAGAAACACGGATAACATTTAACACTCACACGACACAAATACACACACACTTCCCACAATTCATACATAGACATTTAATCAGATAATTAGCACTACTTTTGTGTTCATCAGTAAGACTTCAAGATTTTTACTGGTTGTAATTCAATCTCAAAATTCGTATAACATCCGCATTTCCTAGAGTGCACATTTCTACCAAAGGTTAAGCACTGGCATGGGCTTACGTTAGATATGACTCCTAAATACAACTTACCATCTGAACAAACTACTTTTTGCAACAATTCAATCTCACACTGATAATTTCCATTTCAATGTCAAGAAAATTTCTACCTACGTATATGGCCTTAATAGTCGATCTCAATCCAAAGAATGCCTCTATTAATGTTCTTGTTCAAATTATTTTACTTCAGTTGAAATTTAGATACTCACTTACAATATTAAAAATCATTCACAGTTTCAACAAATGATTCTTTCTTTGAATTTCCTCTACCACATAATGCCCTGTTAATATACAATGAAACTCAAGAGTTACGCATTTGTATAAAAATCATTGCTCTGTTCT